ATATATATATATATATATATATATACATATATATATATATCTACATATATATATATGTATATATTTATATAATATATACCTATATCTATATACATATACCCATATCTATATCTAAAACTTTATTTGTATCTATATACATATATATATATACTATAATATCGTGCGGTTGTTTTGTTTGCTTTTGCGTTGGACAAATAAGATGTAGTGGAATGAAGTTTTTTTTTATTAGTATAGGGGCACGTCGAAAGTTCTGTAAGTACAGAATACAGATTGTTTACGAGGAATGTGTCGGCACCAAGAGATGAACAGCACAGGATGATTTTAGTGCATGGCAAAATAGAGAACAAAGCGGATAGCTAGTATTCTGTGGCTCTGATAAGTAAGTCGTTTGCCCTCTTATACGATTCGTTGTCTATTGGGACAAGGCTGGGGCGTCTACAATCATTCCACAGTGTCCACCAGATCGCGTTGATTCAAATGTAAATAACGTTCCTCCTCAATGTAGGGCTGACAACTGTAGGCGTCTCAACTTGATTCTGCTGTAGTATTGCGGTGGCTTTTCTGTTGATAGGAGACGCGCATTTGAACTGTCTCATCTGCGACTTATCATCCGATGAACTAGTCTGCGACATTCCGTTGATTGTTATGGAAGGCATTGTGTATATTATAGATGAGACAAACACTTGCCCTGTCTCCACATATTGCGCCAGCTTTTATACTCTCCGCAATACAAATAAAATCGTCGACCTACAGACTGCAGCCTGTAGTCCTGTACTCACCAGTCACCTCTGCAGTCTGCACTCTGCCATTGAAGAAGAAAAAAAGGCCCATCTCTTCCAGTCTCCAGTCTCCAGTCTCTCTAATCCCTACTCATCTCAGAGGCTCAGAGTCTGGCACAGTGGCTCTGTTGACTGTGGCCAATGCACATGTTCTCACAGGCAGGTTTAAAAGACTGATGGACTGCGTCTGCTGGAGCATGGAGTCCTGGACTCTGGAGTGCTTGTTGATTCCACTCCCAGAGTAGTAATTGGCACAGTCCCACCACGTTCCTGTTGCTCCTCTGCCGCTATTCGATTCCGAAATCAGAATCATTGTAAGACTGTAAGTCTGAAATCTGAAATCTGAAATCTGAAATCTGAAATCTGAAATCTCATACTATGTACGCTGACTTTGAATGAGACCCCGATTTTTTTTGAACAAATTTGAAGCTTATTAACTTGTCTTTTTATTGGCAACAAGATTTAAAAAGAGGTGAACACTCTTGTGACTGAACAGTATACAGTGAACACTGAACTCTGAACAGTGAACAGTGGACACTCTGATTCTCTGAAGGGAGTACACGAATCACGATTCATACATATAGAATATGTATTTATATTTTATAGTCGTCGACATTGTCACATTACTGATTACAATTTTTTGTCAAATGTTACATTGTCAGATGAGCAATGAGTTGCATCTGCATCAGCGACTGAGACTGAAGAGCTGGTACTCTGGAGTCTGGAGCTGGATGCTCAAAGCGCAAAACGTTTTATATACTGTTTATGATTCGAGGAATAAAAACGGGTTGACCAAGCTCAACTTTTATTTATGACAAATATATTTAGACTCCGAGACAACTCTCAAAGCGTTTAGAATTTCACTCAAGTAAGTACTAAGTAGAATGAGGCGTTTTTATCTTTTTTTGTTTTGATATCAATAGTCAAGTTGACAAGTAGAGTTGACTGATGACATTTGACATTTGTTTTGGGGGTTTTTTTTCTAGAGACTCAAAGAGTGAAGTAGTGTGTAGAGAATAGCCCCAGCCCCACAAATAGTGACGAGTCGTCAGCATATCAATAATCTGGCCCAGAATATTTTTTTAAACGGTGACGAGTAGTCACTATTTCCATCGTGCGTCAGTTAGCCCTTAATCCCCCCCCCCCCCCCTCTGAAATATTCATTTAGGCCGGGCGGAGTTTGTCGGAATGGATTCAGCGTTAAATTTCCGTCTAAAAACATGCGTGACCCGGTTATATTTCTCAAAATTTGTCAAGGGAACACATAGACAAACATTGAACAGCTAACAGCAAACTCAAACACGTATACACAAGGGTGTTTTATCATGGTTAGGGGACATCTCGGGATACCAAACCCCAACCATATCTCATACATACATCCAAGCACCAAAGGCGTGAAGGAGATATCCATCCTATCAATGAGTTTCACATGCAACACACATCCAATGACTACAACACGAGCATGCAACACAATGGACACATTGATGCTCACAGAGACAATACTAATCGTTACCACCCATACACATATCTACCGACAGTGCCTCCTGTCTATCATAGAGAGTATTCACAGAATAACATCGAGCCATTACATTCGGAATCAGCAGTACACGTTAGCACTGATTTGGGAGATCTCGACGTTCTATCTGTAAAGTATGTTCTAAAGCAACATATAATGATGAACGGTGTGGCATATGCAAGGGTATTATATGTTTGACATGCAGTGATGTCAATCGGTTCTCAAATGTTCGTTGTTGCCATATGTGCACACGATGTGTGTCATGCCTTCAAGGTAAGAACATTGAACATAAATGCGATTCGTGCGTCTGTGCATGCGAGCAGTGGTGGGTAAACGCAAGACATGCTTTGAGCTATTCCACGAGCCAGGGTACAACGGCAGCTTGAAGCAGTTCAATGATATTATGGAATAGAAAGAGTATAGGCAAATTATGTTGTGAAATAAAGAGTTGTAATAAAATAATTATTGAAAAAAAAGATTGAAAAATTGTCAAAAATAGGCGGTCCCCACGTTTGCATTTTGGCACTTTATTTCTTATTTTTCCTAATAATAATCAGGTAAAATTTTGAACTATTGGAATAGAAATTCCTAAAATCAAAAATAATATCCTGAAATGGGACACGATTATCCAATAAGAATCAAGACTCAAGTTGTTTTCAGGAAGATGACGACTCGTCACTATTTGAGCGGAGCCAGAGATTTTGTACCAGAGTTGGGTTAAAATAGTTTTATTCACAATTTGAGAAATTTCAGTACAAATTGTCGTAATAGTGACAACTCGTCACTATTTGGCCTGGGACTGGTGCTCTAGTACAGGCCTCTCTAGCGTAGTAAATACTAAATAGAGACTAGAGAGTAGAGAGTAGAGAGTAGAGAGAGCTTTACCTATAGCAGAGAGTGAGGAGAGACTAGAGACTAGCAGCTTTTTTATAAAAAAGTAAATAGAATCATGCGCTATTTTACTCATGTAGTTAATTTTTTACGCGGTATAATTTGTTTTGGGCTGTGCAACTTGATGATTGGTGCAAAGATGAAAAACGCTCAAGACAGAGATCAATAGCCAATTTTATAACATTTATGCCCAAACCTGAAACCCATCAAACCTTGGCCTTCAAAACTCAAAACTAAAAGTTCAAATCACAATCTTGAAAAGTTGAAATCAAACAAAAAACATACATACATTTGTAGCAAAGCATATAAAAATAGAATATCCTAGCTAATACGAAAGTAAAAAAATACAACTATTTTAAAAACACGCACCAAATCCAGAGACAAGAACAACCTCAACTTCTAAATACTACAATGTCTTGTATCGACCTCTCCGAAGACAAGTCACGGATGCGACAATTCAAATGTGCATCCATCAATAACAGGGAAGCCGCCAAGGTCAACAAGTACAAGCAAGCAGAAGTGGCCTCAAATGTCAGCCTCCCAAAGAAAAACGCGATCTACTTGTAGGTCCGTGCATTAGTACGAAGTATAGCTGGACTATCTATAACACAAAGTAGAACAGTCACTTTCGTTTGCAAATAAGCTGGACACAGCCCGGGAGACTTTATAGGATACGGGTTCTAAATTGTACTACCAGTAGGCTTGTGAACGTACATTGGATGTGAATTGTAATTTCTTTTTCTATCCCATACAAGAAATAAGCATTCAAACTTCGAATACAATATGAAGTAAAATAAAAAGCTTTTCAATACTTGGTCCTTTGTAATCAATGAAAGAGATTGTCACTTTGTTGCGGCATCCTAATGCTAACACCTGTAAAAGCTTCTTTTCCCTTTCTTTGTCAAATATAGAACCCGTGATACTTGCGCAGAACTGCATCAGAGATCTGGAAACATCTCGTATGTTTGTAACTACTGATATCACAATTATAAGTATAGGTATTGCAACAGCCAGGCTCTATGCGCAATCTCGTGTCTCATGTACACAACTGATGTACTTTACTTTATGATACTCGAAGGTAGCAGTTTTTTTGGGGATATTCCTCGGATTTTGCGAATTGGCAGATTGTCTTCCAAGGTCAATTACCACGAGAAAGGCTCAGCTCGCATCACCCATTCTGTAGCAGGGTTATTTTGTGGCGTCGGAATAGGTACGAATATGATAGTGTAATTATTAATTTACGAAATATGACGGGGGATGTGACGTACGAAATGTGAATGTGATTAAATGTATTTTATATGGAAGGGAGATCGGATGACTATACTACTATCGCGTGGTACAATGGGGTGCGTATCAGAAAGACTGTTCATGGACTATGTTACATAGTATGAAGTTAATTCACAAGTGCGACCGCCTGCGACGTATGGTGGAGAGCAAGACAAAATGCATAGTGCACGAGAGGGAGAGAGAGAGAGAGAGAGAGATTGTTCACGCAAGTTTTTAAGCGCCAAGTGGGTTGCTGTGATTTTAAAGACTCAGATTATAAGATGGTGATAGTCACATATAAAGTATCTATAACTTGCACTTGATACTCGTATACCCAGAAGGCATGTAAATCAATAAACAAAATACGGCTGTCTCCGACCTCAGAATTCACAGTTTCACACACTTCATGCGAGTTCTCAGTTCACACTTACACACTTCACAGTAGTTCAGATTTCAATGTTCAGACTCTGAGCCCGAGGCCCCGAGCACAGAGGTAGCCGCAGGTCCGCACTCCGCAGCTATGTAATCATATTTCATCGTCATTTCGAGATTTTCGACGTCTGTCATTTTTTTTTGTCTGAATCTCAGAATCTGACAATACAAGTAGCTGAATTAACCAGATGTAGCTTTCAGAATCATCAACTACTCTCTTATAGTACTCTATCAATGAAGGCATGTGGATTGTACTCTTGGGGTGGAACTTTATTGTATTTGTTTTGTAGAAATTCTTTGCGCAAGGTAGTGATTGGTGAAAGGTAAAAAAATGCACGAGAGCATATCTGTCTGCTGCTCTGAATTAAAATAATTATCGTACCCATCTCATGGTTGATCGGCATCCTGTAGCGGCCGCGGCAACGGAAAGTCGAAGACCCGGAAGCAGGAAGTCTTCGGATTTGACCTGATCGGATTAAAAAAAGGCATCCACACCACATATATAAACGTGTCGCATGGTCCACATTTAAAGCACGTACTAGGTAAATAAACATTAAAAGTCCGATATAAAACTTAGTCAGCTCCCATTATACTATGTCTCGCACCGATCTCTCCGAGGACAAGTCACAGATGCGACAATTCAAATGTGCTTCCATCGATAACAGAGAAGCCGCCAAGGTGAGCAAGTGCAAGCAAGCACGGGTGGCCTCAAACGTCAGCCTACCAAAGAAAAACGCGATCTACTTATAGGCCGGCTGCACTATTTCAAAGTATAGCTGGGCAATTAACGCGAGTGTATAGCATTCAACCTCGCTGACATATATGTATGCTGGACGCAACTCGGGAGACAGACATAAGAAGATACGCCCAGCAGGCTTGTGAACGCTACGGTGGATGTGAATTGGAAATCCCCTTTTCTACCCCATACAAGATATAAATAAGATATAAACACGAGACGGTAAATTTGAAAATAAATTCCGAAATATTTCAAACTAATCTTGGCCGTTATGATCAATTGAGAAAGATTGATATAAATGAGTTACGGTGTCAGCGTACGGAAATACAATGGTACTGATGCTCATCCTGACAGCGGTAGAATTTTTTTACCCGATATATAACCTACTGGACCCTCACATATCACATATATTGAGCTAGGAATCACAGCACTATAACTTGTCTTGCCCCTGCTATTATTATATTCTTAGTATACGTATTTATTTACTTTCGAGTTCTTTCGTCCAGGCGGCAATTATAACAGCTAGGTCCTCTCCACAGTTTGTGACAATATCGTGTCTCATGCCCACCATTCGGTGCACTTTCTTCTGATGTTCCGAGGTGGAAGCTTTTTGAAGTAGTTCCTCGGACTTAGCGAATTGACAGATTTTGTCCTCAGGGTCATGTACCACGAGAAAGGGGTAGCTCACGTCGCCCATTCTGTATCAGGGTTATTTCGTGACCTCGGTTTAGGTGAGTGTATGGTACTATAGGTACTAGGATGAATGCGAACATAATAGGAGGGTGATTTTGGAACCACATCGTATGGTATGATGCCGGAAAACGGTTCATGGAATGTGAGGGTGATTGTGTATCTATACTATAAGCGCTAGGTACAATGCTGCGGGTGTTAGTAGGTAGAATGTGCAGGGAGCGTGACAGTATTCTGTGACTACGTTGACTGTTCACGGAGAGTTCAGAAGACAATGCAATTGCGTTTGCTGATCCGAAAGATGATGCTATGTGAGGGTACTACGAAAACGTTTCACGGATATGGGCTGGATTATGTACGTAACTTTTCAGGTTGCGGTATGGTGCCGTAACGAGAAGGTCTACGAAGAACGGGTACAATACACAATGGTGCTAAAGGCGCTAAATATATGTATATTGAACATGGGGACAGACTTGATGTGAGGTTGGATGCGTTCAATACCATGTAATCCCCTCCCATCTAAGTGCTATCCCATACGACTATGGAGTCACCACACATCAACTCAAATAGAACTGCACCGACCCGTCACTCCCAAAAGAAGACAGTACACAAGACAGTACACACACGCACATAACAACTCATACGTCCACACACATCGACACGGGGGCATACGTACAGATATATATATATATATAGATAGATAGATAGATAGAGTTATATATATATATATATATATATATATATGAGGGTCTCACGAGTACAAATCCACAGTCCCTTCACCCACCCGAATACCAAGACATCGTACCAACCTCCACGCACACACAGACACGCACTAAACGCACACACAGACACGCACGATACGCGCACACAGACACATACTATACGCACACACAGACACGTACCATACGCACACACAGATACGCACTATACGCGCACACAGACACACACTATACGCACACAGACACGCACGATACGCACACACAGACACGCACTATACGCACACACAGACACGCACACACAGACACGCACGATACGCACACACAGACACGCACGCTACGCACACACAGACACGCACGATACACACACTCAGCGGGCACACACCTGGGCGAGATAGCATCGGCCATCGCTATGATCGACGCCGCCGTACACCATCGGATTGGATTGGGGAACCGCAGAGGGTCTCGTGAGTACAACTCAGCGATCTCCTCACTCACCCAGATGTCACTATCCACGGCCGTGGTGTCCAGAAAGGTGGGTAAGCTCCACGTAGGTAGCGTCTTTGCTATGACACATGTCATCAGCAGCTCTAAGACATAGGGCGGCCTACCCCCCACACCCAGGGCCGGTGCCACAAACACCGCGCCAGCGTAGCCATCGAACACGTGCGCGTGTGCTAACTGGGTGGAGGTGGTTGTGGGTGGGTGTACGTCACTCACACCCGCGTGTAAGGTCTTCTCACTGGCTATATCGGTAGTGTCGGTTGCTTTGGCGCCTGGGTCAGCAGTTCTAGAGGTCACGAGTTGCTTCAACGTGTCTTGTATGTGTAGCCCTACCATGACCGCTATGCCGCCGCCCATGGACTGTCCCGATATGTAAAACGGGATGCTGGCTAGATGGTCGGCCTGTTCCGCAGAGAAGCCTAACTTACACACACCCTCCTCTTCGTATCGGTTCAGAGCCTCGCTGCCACATCGCACCAGCTATGGGGAAGAGAAGCAAGTGATTAAATACGCACAGGTTAGAATATATGTGCGTAGGAGGGTCCGTATGTACATGCACACAGGTGTTTGTAGAGATGCCACGGGTAGGTATACCAGACTGTGCAGGTGTATTGCGACAGTTGAAGTAGGGGCTGTCTGCAATGAGGTTTTTATGCCTGACAGGCGTGCACTGGCAAAATGTAACATCGACGGAGAAGCTCAGGGTGACACCGATCAATAGGTGATTGCAATTAGTATGACTGTCTACGCATTCTGATGCCTACGCGCACACACGAAGATGCTGGAAACGGCCATGTACAAGTTTAAATCGAAATATAAGTTAGAATCCTCATATCAGATGAATTTATATACAAAATTGCACATCCATATGATGCGTTGAGTGCCAGTAAAATATTTCGAATTCATCCCCAGATCGATACATGTACATATACATATATAAATATATGTATATATATATATATATAAATATATATATATGTACATATACATCTATATATATATATAAATATATCGATATATCTGTATCTTTATTTATACATATATTATAATATATATATATGAATATGAATATGAATATAAAAATTAATATATATATTCTTTTATATTTATATTTGTATATATATATTAAAGAATATATATATATATATACTTACATATATATATATATATATATATATACTTACATATATATAGTACCATTCTGAGGTACCATTCTGA